GCCAACCTGCCCGAGGCCTGCCCTACAATAGCAGCCTCTCCGTCAGCCCGCAGTGCTGGGAAGCAGCCAGGCTCTCAGGACTTCTCCTGCGTGTGCCTGAACAGTTGCCTGCGGGTAAGAGTTGTTGACTGGGACAATGACCCACCTGGAAGCCTCCACATGAACTCCGGAATCTCCGGAGGGGATGAGCACTTGCAGATGACAACCTTCTTCCCCCCAGGAACCTGGCTGTGAAGTCCTGCAGGGACCTCTTTCTTCCTGCCCTCCAGAGCTACAACACACGTTGCCTGCCAGGCTGCCCGGCTTCGGGGAGAGGTCGCTGGTGTGTGCGAGGCCAGGTGGGGGTGGGTTCTGGAGGCCAGAATCTCTGAAAAGGGCTCAGGACTTGAGATAGCCCGACTGGGCTCGGGGAGGCTTGCGCTGGGTGGGAAAAGACCAGCCAGCCCCAAATAACTTTCTTCAAGAAGATCCAAACATATACTTGCATGTTTTATTTATTTATTTTTTTTTTGTCTTTTTCCGTGTCTGGCAACGGATCGCAACCCTCAGTGTCGCCCCCGTACCGGACCAGGACCGGCAACGGGATCGCAACCCTCGGCGCTGCCCCCGCGCCTCGCCCAGCCAGTGAGCGGGAACCGGTCTGTATGTGGGATCCGAACCCTCGGCGGGAGCGCCTCCGCGCTTCCCAAGCGGCGCTCTAGCGCAGTGCGCCACCGGGCCGGCCCAACTACTTGCATGTTTTAAATAAATTTATAGTTGATTGTACTATTCTGAATGCAGATTTTTTTTGGGGGAAAGTAGACCTAATTCTAAATATGTGAAATCAAATGAGGTATGGTGGTATTGGTCACATGCTGGCAAGGTAGACGGTTTTCAGGCTTGTACCCCAGGGACACAGGGCTGGAGAGGAGAGGACATCTAGTCTCCCCACAGCCAGAGGGGTTTGACCACTGCCTGGCTACACACCTTCCAGGGGCTCCTAGTGGCCCGAAGTGAGTCCTGGCAGTGAATGCCATTGGGCAGAGCATCTCTTCTGGTTGCAGCGGGACCCCTCACTGCATAGGACCCAGCAGGGCCTCACCATGTAATGCCTGGATGAAGGTAAACAATCCCTTCCAGTGGGGACTCTGGGGAGGGCCTTGTCAGGTCCCTACCCACCACACCCTGGTGTTCCCTGGGCCAGTTCTGCTCCAGTGGGAAGCAATGCAGCTTCTGTCTGCTTTCAGTTGAGAGTCTGTTCCAGCAGGCCTTACTCTGTCCTCCTGCCCTTGAGGCCCTTCCTGGACCTAAAGCCTCAGACTCTCTCCTCATCCCGCCCTGCCCCCATCCATCCTGCTTGCTCTTCCTTTTTCTTATCTCTTCCAGCCCAGGAGAAGGAGCACTTGACTGTGGACAATCCTGAGGGTGTGGGGAGACCTGGAGGCTCTGAGAGCAGGCCAGGCCAGGGCTCGAGCAGGGGGCTTAGCTGAGTACTGGGCCACAGCACCTGGTCTCAACATCAGTACATGGCTGGGTGCCTGTTTGTACCGAGGGCATGGGCTGCACTGGCAGGGCGGGCCCTTGTGTATAGCATTACAGCCACACTTGGGTTGTCCGAGGCCCAGGAACCAGGACTGTGGGTGTATGGCCTTGTCCAGAGGCTGCTGCAGATGGTGGGCCAGAGTCCATGTCTCAGGTCTCTGTACTCCAGGCACCCCTTCTGCTACCCACAGCAGCACTGGCGTTGGGGCCTGGGTAGGAGGCCAGCCTGCCAAAAGGAAGTGAAAGCAGGCTGACACCATACACCAGGCTCCCAGGCTGGCTCCTCCCACGTGCTTCCCATTGCACCGCCAGGGTGGACGAGCTTGCCTGGGTCCCATTGCTCCGAGTGCCAAAAGCTGTGCCTCTTGCTGCGTGGGGCAGTGCTCGGGAGCCTGGAAGAAAGAAGCCATTGCTCACCTCCGTTCCTCACACCACCAAGCCTGAGTTCTGCAGACGCCTTTCTTTTGCCACTGCCTAGGCCCAGCCTGCTGTCCTTGATGCCCCGCACCCCTCCCTGGGGTCCCCGACTCTAGTCCAGCTCCCTTCAGCTGAGGCTGAGATGGAGTTTGAAGGGCCAAATGCTTTTTATGGAGAGTATCAGGTGCTAGGACTGCCGTAACAAATGATTGCAAACTGGGTGGCTTAAATCACAGTTTCCTCGTAGTTCTGGAGGCCAGAAACCAGATATGAAGGTGTTGGCAGGACTGGTTCCTTCTGAGGCTGAGGGAGATTCTGTTCCAGGCCTCTCACCCAGCTTGTGTGAGTAATCTGTGGCATTCTTTGGCATGTAGAAGCATCACCCTGACCTCTGCCTTCATCTTCACGTGGCATTCTCCCTGTGTCCAAATTCCCCCTTCTTAGCCAGCCATAGTGGATCGGGCCCACCCTAATGACCTCATTTTAACTTGATCACCTCTGAAAAGACCCCAACTCCAAATAAGGTCATATTCTGAGGTGCTGAGGGTTAGGTCTTCAATATATGTACTTTTTAAAACTAATAAATTTAATTTTTTTAGAGCAGTTTTAGGTTTGTAGCAAAATTGAGCAGAAAGTACAGAGAATTCCCACATACATCCTGCCCCCACAAATGCATGGCCTCCCCCACTATCAGCATCCCCCACCAGAATAGTATATTTGTTATAATCGATGAACCTACATGACACATCATTACCACTGAAAATCCACAGTTTACATTAGGGTTCACTCTTGGTGTTGTACATTCTATGCGTTTTGACAAATGTATGACATGTATCCACCATTATAGGAGTATATCATACAGAGTATTTTCAATGCCCTAAAAATCATCTGCACTCTGCCTGTTCATCCCTTCTTCCCCAGCCCCTGACAACACTAATCTTTTCACTGTTTCCATAGTTTTACCTTTTCCAGAGTGTCATATGGTTGGAATCATACAGACTGTAGCCTTTTCAGATTGGCTTCTTTAACTTAGTATTCATTTAAGTTTCTTCCATGTCTTGACATGGTTTGACAGCTCATTTAGCTCTGAATAACATTCCATTGTCTGGATGCAACACAGTTTATTTATCCATCATCTACTGAAGGACCTCTTGGTTGCTTCCAAGTTTTGGCAATTACAAATAAAGCATCTATAAATATTCACACAGAGGATTTTGTGTGGACATTAGTTTTCAATTGATTTGGGTAAATACCAAGGAGCATGACTACTGGATCATATAGAGTATGTTTGCTTTTGTAAGAAACTGCTAAACTGTATTCCAAAGTGGCTGTACCACATTGACAAAATTTTGCAAAATTTTGTATTCCTACCACTAATGAATGAGTTCCTGTTGCTCAACGTTCTCATGAGCATTTGTTGTTGTCAGGGTTCTGGATTCTCGCTGTTCAGTTAGGTGTGCCTCTACATAGCATCTCATTTTAATTCGCAATCCCTTGACATGTGACGTGGATCATCTTTTCATATGCTTACTTGCCATCTGCTATCTTCTTTGGTGAGGTGTCTGTTCAGGTCTTTTGCTCATTTTTTAATCAGGTGGTTCATTTTCTTATTGTTGAGTTTTAAGAGTTCTTTCTACAATTTGGATAATAATCTTTTTTCAGATATGCCATCTGCAAATATTTACTCCTAATATATGGCTTGTATTTTTATTCTCTTGACAGTGTCTTTTTCATAAAGGGTGGCCAGTTAGCACAGTTGGTTAGAGCACCACCTTGTAACACCAAGGTCAAAGGTTCAGATGTCCACACAGGTCAGCTGCCAAAAAACAAACAAAAATTAAAGAATAAAAATTTCACAGAGCACTGTTTCAAATTTTAATAAAGTCCAATTTATCATCTTTCTTGGATTGTGCTTCTGGTGTTGAACCCAAAAAGTCATTGCCAAACTCAAAGTCTACTAGATTTTCTCTTATATTATTTTCTAGGAGTTTTACATGTTTTACATTTATGTCTGTGATCCATTTTGAGTTAATTTTTGTGGAAACTGTAAGGTCTGTGTCTAGATTTTTTTTGCATGTCGATGTCCATTTGTTCTAGTGTCATTTGTTGAAAAAACTATCTTTTCTCCATTGTATTGACTTTGCTCCTTTGTCAAAGATCAGTTGACTCTATTTATGGGTCTATCTCTGGGTTCTTTATTCTATTCCATGGATCTTTTTGTCTGTTTTTTCACCAATATTACAATGGCTTGATTACTTTAGCTTTACAGTAAGTTTGGAAGGAACGTATCTTTTTTTGGGGGGGTGGACACAATTGAGCCATATCAGGACCAACACCTGAGAAGGGGAAGGGATGGAGGCAGGACTGGGCAGGGGAAGGGATGGAGGCAGGACTGGGCAGAGGAAGAAGGGGAGCGGAGCCCTCACCACCTTCTCTGAAGAGAATATTACTCATCAGAGTCCTGTCTTGGCAGAAGTGAACTAGCCTTTGTACCCCCACCCCCTTGTTCGCTGGATGTGGCTGTGAGGGAAGCACATGATCTGGGGTGAGGTGCCTCTCAGCAGCTGGAGGCTGGGCAGCAAGACCCTCCTTGGAGCAGGATGTGGCTGGTGCACTTGGACAAAGCTTCTCTCCTTGACCAAACTCTAGCCAGGCACCTCTGAGCCCTCTTCTTTACTAGGCCTCAAGCTTGGCCTATAAAGACTTGGACAAACACGAACATAGACTCTAACAGCTCGAGGCTGCGTCCCTACGATGATCCCTGCCTCCCTTAAAGTGCCCGACTGAGAAAACTCAGAGCTGCCAAAAGAAGGTACTGCCTGTTCCAGCAACACCTGGAGGTAGGGCCCTGTCTCCCTGCGCCTGTGGGAGGGTAGGGGCCTAACTTCCCCAAGCGCAGTTAGCAAGCTCCGATGAGCCTCACATGCACCAAGCCCTTCCCGCTTTCTGTAAGTTTTCACTTCCCTGCCTCTGCTGAGTCCCACGCAGTCCCCTCTGTACACCCTGAAGTCGTTCAGCTCACGCGGGCCTCCCCCTCCGCTGCACCAGTGCCTCACTGATGGAGCCTATCTCGACCGCTTCAACCAGCGTCCGGCGCTGTTCATCTGTGGACGTTCTCCGTGCTCACCGCACCAGCCCCCTGCCCTCCCGCACCCAGTGATCTCCCCAGGCTGGACCCTGCCCCCGGCCCAGCCCGGCCTCCAGAGCTTTCAGGGACGGGAGTCCTGCCTCCGCTCGCGGGACCCCACAGCA